TTCCTCTTATGAAAACAAATTGGAAAATATCAGAGCCATAAATTTAAAAAATCAGTAACAAAAAATTGGAATTAAAATCTTGAATAGGAATGTTTTAACCCATCCATCACTGCAGCTGAACCTTGTTAATTATATTATGAGATTATGTTGATTATATTATGAGATTACACGGGAAGAAAGGAGAACAGAGGAAGGAATGAATAAAAGATAGCCAAAGGACAAAATAAGTAAAAATGATAAGTGAATCCAGATAGAAACGCACCAGGCTTGCCGGTGTGATCATGCGTTTTTGCACCAGACTTGAAGTAGTCAGGTTATTAACTACATGAATGGCTGTTACTTTACATCTACTTTTTGCGCTCACTAGCGTAAATCATCACAAATTTTGCATAAAGTAAATAAGCAATTTCCATTTAACGGCCATTCTTTGAAACTAACCTAGCTGCTCAATGAGCGATTTACCCACCAAAAATTTTAGGTGTCCGAACATGAGAATCATTCACACCTGTAGGCTGAATTTGGAATATTTAAGTTTTACATGGTCAGGAGATATCCCCTAAAATTTCAGCTTTCTTCCTTTCCTGGTCTCCGAGTTAAAAATTTTCCCGCCAAAACCAACATACTTCCTTGCGTGAGTGCCATGCACACCGGGCTGAATTTGAAACCTTTGGTTCACACATACACAGGGAATATCCTTATAGATTTCCAGCCCCTTATCTTGCCTGGCTCTCAAGACCGCTTCCTTCCAAAAAATTTGCTTATTTTTTTAAGGCGTTTGTGCGTGACACGAGGCATACGCGGGAAACGGTATTAAAACAGGAGGCCGCGCATGGTATGGGCAAATAATCCCAAAGTTTCAGCTTTCTAGCTTTTCCGGTTCTAGAATTTTTCGAGTGACAAAAGGTGCGAACACATAAACACATAGAAAGACGGCCTCCTGCCAATACATATATGCAAAAACATAAAAATCAAAGAAATGAAGAAAAGGAAAAGTTGATAGAAAACTTTTATTACTTTGCTGTACTCTAGCCTGCTAGTATTAGCGGTACTAGCGATATAGCTCATAAACAGGAATACTTTTAATCTCAGATGGAAAAACCGCTCAATACAAACCTCTGGAGAAATCGCAGTGTTCGCCAACGGCGATTTTCTTAAACTGATGGACAAATTGATCGAGCGATGCTTGTGATGTCAAATTCTGGAAGGCGAGATTTTCATCGCCGGTTATTTCCAGCAGCTCACCCATGTTGATATGTGCACCGATTCCAAGAGCAAGTATTTGAACGCCTTCAAAATGGACAGCTTAAATGTCCAAAAATGTGCATAAACGAAAGCTCCTGGAGCTAAAG